AGCGAAATTCTGACAATAAACTTTTAATGTAAATACGATTGAGTATAATATAAAATAACATTTACAGCATGAATAAATGTTTACACTCTTCTTCAATCTTTCTTGTTATAAGTAGCGTACACCAAGAGGTATTTATCAAGAAACAAATGTGAGATTTTTATAATATTTTAATGACTATTTATTTACTATATGTTTATTTTAAAATTAATACATAAAGTTTTATTAATAAGCGCATATAAAATATTTTGCACTGTTGTGTCAGCAATTAACTTTGAATTGTTTTGGATTATTACTTCAACAATAGAAAATTGTCCACAATTTTCAACAATATGTTTACTCTTTTTATTTATATAAGTAAAATCTATTGTTTGGGCTGTTTTTTATACCACATGTAAACTTATTGATCCTGCGTTGAATATGTCTGAAATATCAAGATTAAGATTTTATGAAAGATTGAAATGATTTATGAATGGAAATTTAATTTGATCATATTTCTAGTTCGCAATCTCAACTAACTCATCATTACGATTTTTAATCGCGTAACAGTAAATGTGAAACTCTCGCTCGAAAATATAATTTCTAATTACGCAAAAAGGAATAAATTGACAATTTCTGAGTTTTCGAATCCGTTGCATAACGGTACCGCGGAGCATGTGTGTGTTTAATAAAGCCAATTGTCAGAAATCAACTGTGCGTTATTAGAAGACAATTGCCTTACGTTTAATTCGACGCTGCAAATTGGCAGAATTGCGCCTTAAACTGTGGTTGTTCCGCAAGCGGAAGTTCAAGTGTGCGAAAAGTCGAGCTAACTGAAGTGTTCCATTAAGCTTTAACGAGGAGAAAAAAGCTGTGCTCAGTGCAAAGAAGTGGGTGCCTCCGCAGTCAAGGTCACGCCTTGATGCCCGCCCAGAGCCCGACATAACGTCTCCTCGCGGTGACGGAAATTAGCGGCGCCCATGTTCACGACGGTCGCCTTTGAGGGGGAAAAAAGGTGGCGAAAAAGGTCGGCGTCGGGCGGCCGATTGAAAGCATCGAGATCGCCAAACAGCTGAAGAACATGGGGCGTACCAGACCCGCTGGAATAGCGGCGGAACCGATAAACGGGACCAGTAAGAGGGGATGGCGAAGCGTAGTAGGGAGAGAACGGAAGGAAGAAGGGGAAGCGACATGAATGAGAAGGAGAGAGAGAGGAGAAAAAAGAGAAACAGGGAAAGATAGGAAGAGGAAAGGTGTCAGTTGAGGAAATTTCCATGACGTAGCTGTGCCGCCGCCGTGCCACTTGCCATTGTCGCTAGACATGTCGCGAAGCGACTGACCGAGCGAGCTAAACGATTTTGGAGAGGAGGGAGACCGTGCGATTTAAAACTAGTTTTGATTACGAAAGAAAGATGGCCCACCTTTTTGGCGATTTTCGACGTCGGGTGCGGCGAGGGGGGAGAGATACGAATAAGGAGCCCCAGAGAGATGAAGACTTGAGAGGACCGTAGAAAGGTTTTATACGTGAACGTCGGTTTTTACGAAATCCTTTTGCCGCAGAGGAACCTCTCATTGAAAACGGAGGATTCTTAAGACTCGATCCGGCCGTGTGACTACTTATCGTGATATAGAATGCAAAATTTTAGGTAGCGATTTGTTAGATTTGCACAAACGACATGCTACTTCTCTATCAATTTCATTGTAAGCAAAGTTACTGATCTGAGTTTTTTTTTTAAACGAAGGTCGAAAGATCTCTGTCTATATGAAGAAACCAGATTGAGACCATCTTAATATCTGTAAAAAATTTTGAATAGTAATCTAGATTTAAATTTTATTTAACAAATACAACGAATTTCAAAACTAAAGTACAGAAGCATATGTAGGTGCTACTGTCATGAAATCAATACAAAGCTGAACGCCACAAATGATTCAACATTCCGGTCTGGATATGTCAAAAATTCGCGATAATTTTCAATTAAAAAAATTTACCCTATCTACAAAATCGGAGAAGAAATTAAGAAACAGTGATGCATAATTTCTGTTCGTTATCCGGATAACGAGAACAAAAGTTAAAGCTTCCTTCTCTGGTTAAATTTAATCCGCGAGACGGCTGTTGTGTGCAGACGGTTTGTTCACCGCGTGGCATCGATCGCCGATACAAAGTCAACGCACGGCCAGTGAGTCTCGAGGAAAACCACCTTCGTCGTCAATCGATCGGGGTCACTACAGAAACTAGACGTTCGAACAGACGATAAAGAGCAGCGTTTATTCATCCTGAATTGAAACGAGCGAAATAGAAGGAAAAGAGAACGTCGCGTTCAGTTTTGCTGAGAAATTTTTTTTAATATAGATTGGAAGACACGATTCTAAGGAAGCGTTATCTTTGTTACATCAAAATCGTCACATTTAAAAATAAGTGGCGTTCAGAGAAGCTCCACCATGTGCTGGCGTGTAATCGTGGGGAACCAAACATTATTGAAATATTCTCGCGAATAGCCGCGTTGCGCGATACGAAGGTCGGTCGAAAATACACTTTTGCGCCGCGACCGACTTTGCGCGCGTTTAAAAACGCAAGGCGAAAGAAAAAATTTTTCCGAGAAAATCATTTGTTCTAAAGTCATACGCACGAGACCGAGCCCGCGGGCATTTCTGGAGTGTATTATGCGTTATCGCACGATTTACTCGTAAGTTGTCGCGGGTTTCGCGGTGGTGGGGGAACATCCGGCGCGCTTATCGTATCGCGATAATGGTGCGCGACTCGATGTAAAGTTACCGAAAAGAAAAAGAAAACAAGCAATCCGAATTACAGAGCCGAAAATTCTCGATGAGACGAACAGATAAGCGGCAACGAGGCGCGCGTTTTAGTTCCGAAACAATTCGCGGTAATGAGTGACACGTCGCGTGTCGCACGCGCATTCTGCGTGGTACGTGACGTAAATTCAAGGAGAATGACCGCGATAATGATTTCTCGAGGAATGGCAGTTCTTTTATCGAGCATTACATTTCGCGATGACTCAGAAGGATGACTATATAAAATAGCGGAGTCTACGATTAATCGTTATCGTCAAGCACCGGATCAACGTTGCATTACGTAGCTCGCGAGAATATCTTCTTATCTCGATGTTAACCAAGTCATCGATTTACCTACATTGCATAACGTGGAAAAGACGGAGTTTGCATTACCGCGCTTATGATAAGGTGACAAATGATAACGTTAGAATCGCCCCAGAATGCCATTAGTGTCGTAACAGCCTTGAAGCAGTTTTGACTTTCAAATAGAGAAATAGCCACCGCGGGAAGTTCTAACTTCTTTCAGTTTAATACAAAGTCTGTTTCAAGATGGTGATTAATTGCGATGCACATATAATTAATTGGGATGTATTTATAAATGCGACACATAGTGACGTGTGTGTGTGTGTGTACGCGATAGCGAGGGGGAGCGAGAAAACTCGCAAACCCTCGAAGTATATAGTTTAAATCGTAGATTTAAGTTTAGACTAAGTTGAAAAAAAGGTAAAAGGTAAAGTGTAGAGATTGTAACCCTGAGGGGAACACAATAAAGAGTATTATTATTATAATAAATGTGATACATTTAGTATCACATTTTACCTTCCCAAATTAAATTTATATTATAAGAAAGCATTTGGAAGCAATCTCGCAAAAGTTACTCCGTAAATTCGTAACGATTAAACGCGCCGCCGTTAGTTCTCGTAAAAGCGAGTGCGGCGTGAAGAAAAGGAATGCGAAACAATCGCGGGAATACAATATGCCCGCCGACGATTCGCGCAAATGTGCCCATCCAATTACACAATTGCCGTCCGCGCGTATGCAGAATGTGCGTAATCGTCCGTGACGTCCCGATGGCGTATCTTCGTAATGAAACGCATTAATCAAATCCTCCCGTGTGACTCGTTCTTAGAAATTGTAAGTGGCGCACGAATTTAAACGCTCGTTCCCCCTTTGACCGCGCGTATCTATTTCGACTCGAGTAGAAGAACTGTACGAAAGTGTAGGCGCACAAGTAGGCTGGATAGACTTACAATTAGTGCCGAGATCGCACGCGCGAACATCGGTGACGTGGATTGTGTAAAGCCTGTGTTACGCTACTCCGGTCGAGTTCTACATTTTTAAAGCTAGACGCTTCAATTACACTTGCAATTTCTGACCAATCGTAACATTCCGTAACTGAAGCCGTAACCTGTAGTGTAATAAGGACTTTACGCGCGACTGCGCCATGTGGCGATCGCGATAAGAAACGCGTGCGTGTCAATGCCGTAAAATATCTAATTGTAAGCCCTCCGCGTTGTCTCACGTAATTAGCAATTAAAAATCAACTTTTGCGCGCGATTTAACGGAGCCTGATCGCAGATCCGAGAAAGGATCGTAGGATCGCGGGGACATAAAAGCGTACTCTTTTCAAAGACACCGTTCGGACACTTATTTAAGTGTCGTTTATTGAGAACGACGGTAAAAAAAAATGTATTCTGTTTAGATGCAATTGCTCGCCCCGAATGTTCATGTAGATGACATTTAAAGTGCTTTACGAGGTATTTAAACTTCTTTTCAAAGGGAAATAAATTTTCGGGAATACAGCATATTTAAAAGTGCAGTCTGCCCGCGCTGCTATCTTCGCTCTTGAAATCAATAAACCCAATACGTCGCGATACGCGGTATCTCGATACTTTGATAGCAAACCGTAAATTTTTGCTCGTAGAATTGGTCGGTCGCGTGGCGCTTATTAATAATGAATTCGCTTGCTTGCACCAGTGCGCGCCGAATGTACACGAAGTCTTGTTTCCAGTCTCAATTCTTATATTTAAAGATCACCTTAAATACCTCTTGCAATATTTCTTATCCAGAAACATGGCCGGTGCAACGTTTACACGGATCATTTTTTTAAATAAATACTCTTTCAACATGTATTTAAGACAAAGTTAAATATAAGAACTGACTGTAAACAAGCGTTAGTGTGCACTCAGAGATCAGAGATAAGTTATTCGACAATTCGTTTAGTAAGCACTCACCTGAAATCTGCCGCCGTGCACCGGTACTCCGAGACTCCTCGTACTGTGTGACATTTTCGAATTTGTATCGGGCGCGTTCCGCTCGCTCGGCTCAGAAGTGTCTAGCCTCGAGTATGCAAACAGACGTACATAAATATGCGTATATAGCTGTATATACTTATGTATATACGATTCCTTCCGCTCTTTCTCTTTTTTTCCTCCGTCCGATGCGGCGTCGAGATGAAGAAAGTAGAAACGCAAATTCGTTTCGAAATTCGAGCCCCACTGCCAATAGGGGGAGGTCAGCGCCGCTCTGCGTATTCCCGTGTGTGAGTACAGCACACACGTGTATGTGAATTCGCGCGATTGGTCGAGGGAGATTGGTACCGCGTGCGTTTACTTGTGCGCGGATGGTCGTCTGCGGCAGGTCTCGCGGGCGCGCGACAAATGAATGGCAAGAGGGCTCGGTCTCCCGGACGAGCGCGGATGTCGCACTGATCCTTCGTTCTCTTTTCACGTCAACTTCCCTGCGGTGGGTTCCGTGAGATCGGTATACGTTGCATGGAAGTCGCCCCGCGGTGGGAGCGGCGGAGGGTGGGGGCAGGCACTTTGCGAATACGAAGGAGAGGAGGGGGAGAAATCGGCGAGGTTGCGTCGGAGAAGAGCGTTGGGGAGGGAATTCCTAGAGCCCGAATTTCTGGAAAGAAAACGACCCGAGTCTCGTCTAAATCGGGGACACGGCGAGTGGTATTGGTCGAGAGCGGAAATTTCCGATTTCAATTTTATGTTTCGAAAAATGGAGGTACGACGCACCAGTGGATCGCGATCGGCGAAGAAACTCGCACGAGAATGACGGTGCGCGATACGGAAAGCCGCGCGTCGCGGTTTCTCCGGCTCTCCCACTCTCACGAACCGCGTACCCTCTTCGTCCCTTTCGACAGTTCGCCCCACCCTCGGGCGAGAACGCTCACAGCGACCTTCTCGTTCGACTAGATCGCTCCCCTCCTCGTCAAGACTTCTAACTCCATTGCATCCCTCCGTAATAGGCCTTTAACGGCAGCTCTATAGCGTATTTTTGTCAGCTTTGTCATGTTTATCGTTTGTCACTTTCTTGGACATTTTACATAAAAGTCAAGCCAATATATAAAAAATATATACACACGGAAAGAACGGCTACCGTTAAAACGACTAAAATAAAAATGTTGCACAAATTATTGGGGCACCTACATTGTTTTTGTACGCTATAGCAAACGCATATAGTTGCCTACGCACTTTCCCCGTAGTTGAGTCCGTGTGGTTAGATACCCTCATATATGAGACTTGTTTTCTATTGCTGCACTGGTGAACTAGTGCTGTAAGCGAGAATGAGAAAAAATATACTTGTCTTACTCCAATTTATTGTACTAGTTCACCAGTGCAGCAATAGAAAACAAGCCTGCGGTTGCTTCTACCAAAGGATTATTGCCACTCATTGTCGCGACGCGGCGACCGTACCACACTCTCACTATAGTTTATAGTCATTTTAGGAGCTAACCACATTTTTATAGTTTTTCCAACTACGTAAGTTATGGCTGACCTAACAATGTATTATAGTTCTCATAGACACAATATTGGTCCACGCAACTTATGATATGGTTGTCATAAACCAAAACGAGCTTTTAATTTGGTATTAGAAAATATATCCAAATACTATAATTAAATTATATAATTCTTGATTGGATGGCGCTTATACTTGGCGTCTTTTTTTACCTTTTTTAAAAAAGTTTATTTTTAAGGTGATATTAAAATTACACAAACGTAGCACACTCATATTTTCGACCACTTATTTAAAGTTGCATTTATTGAAAATTAAAGAATGACGCTCGCTTCCCCGAATCTGTAATGATGCAGTAAAAAAAAACGAAAACTGAAGCGATTTTCGTGGCGGTAAACTGATATTACGTTTACGATTTCGCTAATATCGCAGGTAACGCGAAACTCGCTTGGCGCCTCGCGTAGTTCTGCGTCGCATTAAAGGTCTCAACTCCTCTCGTTGCGCCTATGTTAAATTATAATCTCGAGCATTGTATTTTTCTCCCGTGTTGCATATCGAAAGAAATTAGCCTTTCCGCGCGTCACTCATTTAACAAATCGATAAAATATGAAATAAACACTTCTTTCTTTATTAATGAACATATAATTATCATATAATTATCATGTTAAATTGCAAAATGACCTCAGTAAAATTTCTACGAATATTAATGTACAACTGGGAAGAGGAAGTCCTCAATACATTTCATAAGTCTGTCGCATGTGATACACAAAACAATCGTGAATTTCGAGAAAACTGTATAAAACTAATTTTTTTTTATATAATTTGTTTCATTGTCATAGCTCAATATAAATGCAATTCGTGGGCTCAATTAGGCTTAAGGATGTCTTATACAAACGTAGCAAAAGTAACTGAAATTCGACTTTGACGAATATATGCTCTCCTATATAATTTGGACAATAAAGATTGCGAAGAATCTTATTATTTATTCATATAAGCTAGAGTTCAGAAATATATTTTTAATTTTTCCATCCGTTTTAATCATTTGAATCAACACGGTCACACTTTTTCCGTAACCTCACGGGTGCAAATTAAAATTCTTACAACACCAGCGATTGCTTCAAACGACTCCGGATTTTTTAATAAGTCTCTTTAAAATAGAATTTCTATATGCCAAATATATTTAATATATTACATATATTTTTACCTACATGTAAAAATATATTTTTTTCCATTGGGGGTTATTCTGCGTTTTCCTATTCGATTGCAAATTATACTCTACATGTTCTCTTTAGCAATTTACACAACACATTTGCGTCAAGATCGAAGAATTTTTTTCTTAACTTCCTTTCCCATTATAGAATTATATAACAAAATCCTGTCAGAGATTACAGATTGTTTTAAGTGGCTTTATAAGGCGACTTAAGAGGCAAAAACTATGCAATCGATAACAAACGACTTCTCGGGAAATTTGATCTGAAATAACATACGGCCGGCTATTCTTATCGATTGGTTTGCGTTGCAAAGCAGTCGGCATTGTAACTGTGATGAGTAGCAAAATAATTTTTTGTGTATAGTAATGACGGTAATGACTATCAACGAATATTTCCATAAGATTTCATCCCACAGCTAGAAATGACGTCAGTTTGACGTTAATGAGTCGATGACTAATCGTTGTCAATACTAATTGCAATCTTTCTCTTATCTTTCCTTATTTTATTATAATTGTTTTTATATACTTAATTGTACACGTAATTCCAAAGTTACTCCACGTATAATTGTCAGTAGGAAGCAAAATTTTTTCCTTTGACAGGAAAAAACCAATCGCAGGCGTTTCACTCGAGAATGGTTACGTCAGGAGGTCATCGTGTCCATCGCTATTGTGTTTTTGAGTTTTTTTTCTAGTATTGCTTCTGGAGCGCGAAAGGCCAAGAAGTTTCACGCTCAAAACATGTTATCATTTTCTTTATAAAACAGAGGGGAGATGTGTCGTCTAATTGAGTGAAGATACAAGTAAAACAATTGCATAAAGGTATCTTGAACGCATGAAGTATCTCGACGCGTCTGAATATCCGTCATTTAATCCCAGTAAGCAAAATGTTGATGATACGTCGTTTATTCGTCAGCAGTTTCGAGCAAAATGTTGCAGCTGACATCGGTTATATTTGCGCTAAGCTTATACCCACATAGCACTGACGTAACAAGGATATCCTTATGAAGTTACAGATATCTCAGAGATATCTGAGAGATATGTTATACAAATGTCTCAGAGATA